AAGGTTACCTGAAATATATTTCAAATATACATGCACTAGCGACTATCTGTGAACATTAAAGACACAATAAATAACTGTCAAGGTGTCATCTGAAGTCATTGGAAGAATAAGTACGGCTTAATATGCAACATATCCTAAATAACTAATAATGTAAGATTTCCAGATCATCTATAGGGTTGACCAATTCCAGACAGGGGAAAAATAAATCAAAGATAAGTTGAATGAAACTAATTTTTGGAAAAAAATGTGAAAACACCTATCATTTTTTAAAGGTGAAAAGACTAATTTATTGGAATAAATGGTCCTGTAAAAAATATACAATTACAATGATACAAATTTCATTCTTTACCATTTTTGATGAAAACAAAAATAATAGTTTAAAATAAAGATTCATAAAAAGTAGAGGAAAATATTCTAATTAAATAATTTCTAGTAATGTAGTGCTAAGAACATCTGCCTAAATTAGATGTTCTCAATTATGATTCTAAAGACCTAATTTTTTGAAACTGACACAGGGAATATACATTAAATCAACATTTATATGATTTAAGAAACAATCTGAACCACATCAGTAAAATATATTTGAAATAAGTTGTAGAGCACGAGATGAAATATAAGACAAGTAGAGAAAAATGCTTTAAAATGTTCAGTTTTCATAGTTATATACAAGCAGGACACAGATGCAGTTCACTTATAAATTGCATTTGACAAATGATTCTGAGTTTAAATATGCTGATTCCAGAGTTAGAGACATATAAAGAACAAATATCTACTCACCCAATCAATAATTAGCAATAGCAGATTGCTATTAATTCAAATAATTATTGATTCAAATAATTAGTTCAAATAATTGCTAATTCAAATAATTGCAATATTAATTCAAATCATTGTTATTTAATTAAAAATTTTTAAAAAATCATTCCCTTGAAAGAAAGTTAATCTGGAGTATACTACCAAAAATTGTATCTGACATACATATCATTCTAGTACTTGAAAAGTCATTATATTGCACTGCCTTTGGATGGTGATTTTTAAATGGCAACCAGTTGATTCCAGAACACATTTAATACAATACCAATAATGGTTACAACAAAATACCCTAAATACTTTATCCTGATTTTACCTTTTTTACATAAACATTCTGTTTTAGCAGTTGAAATTGGTTTTCCCACACACTCCACAATATGATTAAATAAACAACAAAATGAAAATGTAGGACGGAAGAACCACCAGTAGTTATACCGATTTTACAAAATACAATCAAATCCCCTTTATAAAGCATCATGCTTTATTACCTAATTCAGTTCTGCTTAAAACAGATTTTTTTCCTCTATCAATATTTTAGAGCATATTTTTCACTGTATTGGAACATTTCCCCCACCTTATGCCACTGTAATAATGGGTATTCTAGTCTTTTTAGAAATTCAGATAAATTGTCTCATGGAAGCTCAGGCACTTTTCACAGACTCATTTACTTAGGCTTTCACAGATAATGTGGGTTTTTTTTTTTTCTCTCTTATATCTGACCTTTCCTTTCTGATGACTGAATAAAGCCCATCCTGTGAGTAGGCATTTTCTTATTACAGGATGTCAGGTTTATCCAAGTCTTTCTAGTTCAAAATATACTATCTGTCTGCTCAATAATGCCCAAATTCTTTTAGACAAAAAAGGGAAAAACATCTTTCCACAGTTGTAATTAAGACTGTGGGAGAATAAAACATTGACAAGTCACATTCACTACAAATTGGTTGGAGGAGGAGGTTTAAACAAAAGCCTAAGGAGTCGGGGTGAAGAAGAGGGATTATTGGGGGAAAGAAAAGGTGCAGACATCAACTCAATCTTTGCTTGTTTCACAATCCTGCCCTGGCCCTTAGGAGAAGGAGCAGTGAACTGCCAGGTGTGGCTGGGGAAGAGAATGGTTACCTGACTGGACCATCTAGGTTTCCATTTCCTATTTTCCCATCATTTGCAATTTTCTACCAAAAAAAAAGAAATTAAGGTATGGTCCTGGAAACCATGCTGTGGAAATTGACCATATTTGGAGATTTGTGCAAAAAAAGGAAATTCTAGGAAAAATTGCTCCGACCCTGAGACTTTTCTAATTCAATATGATATACATACACAAACATTATATTGCTAAGTATACAACCATAACCTCTTACTGCTGAGTTTCTAAACTCATCATGCAAAGACATCATGGCTCATTGTGACTAACGATGCCTTCTCAAGAAAGTCATAGACAACAGATTTAAAAGATACAAGATGCTGACAACAGAGGTACCAAGTGATCAAGTGATGAGAATTAGTAGAGCTTCCAAAACTGTAAACAGATGAATACACTACTTAACAATGGGAATATCTGACAATTCTGTTAGATACACAAATTTCAAATTCTTTGTATTGTATTTTTGTTGTTTTTTTTTTCAAAAGATTTTCAACAAAAATCTTTAAACAAATACGACACATACAGAGACCTGTAATATTGAACGCTGATATTTGCCTCTCCATCTCATATTCTGTCACAGACACAAGTCTCAGAGGGTAGCTGCCACAGCCTGATCTCCAGTCATGTTCTGTGTTAGGTAGCACTACACACACTAGCTCTGTCTCAATGTATTCTTCTAGGTAAAAAAGTAACAGTCATCAGCTACACCCCAAAACCATTCCCTTAAATGCTGAGTTCAGTGTAAACCGTGGATAAGATAGAGTTTTCCTGACATAACTTACATTTTAAAGATTTAAAAAATTAGAAATAAAGTCTCAAGCTAATATTTTGTATTTTTTAGTTTAAAAAAAAATGGCCAAATAACCTCTTAAGCTAACCACAACAGTATATTAGGTTAAAATTTCTTACCATCAGTTCAATTCTTAAATAGATGTTACATAATTAATTTTAAACATTAATTTCCCAAAGTCTATAAGAAAAGGAGACATGTATAAGCATCATTTCATTTTTAAACAGTTCTTCTACCTGTAGAAAATTTTACAAGGAAAAACTTACTGAAGGCCTATAGCTATAGCCAGTTTCAAAATCTAAATATTTGACAAAACAGGTAATAGGAATTTAAAATCCTACAAAAACCATTCACAAAGTTTAGAATGATTTGATCATCTTAAACTTACACAATAAAATTTCTCTATCTTTTCTAGTGACGGAAGAGGTAGAAATAGAGACTTTCCCACACAATATGCAACTTGAAGTGTTACACTGCAATCTTACTCTCTATCATCCATTTCTTTTCAGACTTAGAATGTGATTATGGTCAGTCTTAGGCTGACTTACATTTGCTAGTTCATAGCAAAAGCAAAGGCTATGTCATATTTTGGTATTTTTAAGTTTTCTATGCTGGCACCTTACAAAAGATATGGAAACAGAGGGGGCAGAAATGAGGCTTTGTATTATCACAGGTCTTCTGTCACAACCTGACAACCACATATTTTAGCCCAGCCTTGACTCTCTTACCTACCACTCTCACTTAAGAGTTAATACCAGGCAAACACCTTCACTAAGGCTCACACCAAGTGACAGGTTCAATCCACTGGTCTTTGGGTGAGGTCTGAACTGCCATCATATTGGCTGGTCCTTTTTCTTAAAAGATTCTCATGAACTCAGGAAAACATCAGACTGTTTTTGAGAAAAGAGTAAGCACAGTAAGTGCTTTAAAAGAGGGGACTAGTTACAGAAAATTAAAATTCCAAAGTCTGAAATTCCACCAAATCAGACTTCTGCTTTACAGACTAGGCTGCCACCATGCCACAAGAAAGCTGTAAAAGCACTATTTTAAATCTCTAGTAAGCATTTAGACTAAATATTTTAAAGCTGATATGAAGGGTTTTTTAAAATAGAAAACTTAAGGTTTCTTATCATTTTTATATCCATGTTTATCTGAAATGCCAGCTGCTCCGTGGATTATCTCCTCCTATGCCAATAATTATTAGCCCACAAGAGACGGACACTGTAACATGAAATCACTAGCCAACAGTTTCTATTTGGTTGGGTATCAGTATTTTTGCCTTGAGATTCTAATTAAATAGTGACTGATGCCGCTTAAAAGCGCCATGGAAGTGAAATTATCCAGAAGTTCCAGCGGAAATAATAGAAAATAGACAATATCTTATTTTCCCACATACTCCATTTACTAGCTTAAAACAAAAAATGCACGCACTACACAACATTCTATTGCTTGCAGCTAAATTGTACCTCTTCGATCATGTTTAATTTTGATGAAGGGCTCCATAATGATCCTTTTTCAAAAGGTACCTTTAAATTATAAGGAACTTCCAGTCCCTACCTGGAAATTAAAGCTGTGCAGATTAAAAAGACATAATCATTAATAAACATCATAGAGATCATTCTAGAAAGAAAAGGCACGTTAAAGTAAGAGGAGACTCAGAAAAAAACACACCATTTCCTGACATTTTCAACGCCACTTTAGAATAGAGCGCTGGAAAGAGCCGCTCCCTGTCAAGAGGGCCATTTACTCTGAAGGAACCGAGAAGGACCCCTGGCTGAGGAGCTGCGGGAAGTTTGCGGCGGGCGGGCGACTGGCGGGGCGGCTGCGGACCCAGGCGCGTCAATCTGTCATCAGCGGGTCCGCAAAGCCTAGCGCCACTCGGCTGCCCTGCAGGGGGAAAGAGAGCAGGACAAAGGTCTGGAATCCAAGGACTCGGGTTAAGGAAACAAGAGGCGCGAATTCATTCAAGTGTCAGCTGTCAGAACCACGAGTGTGGAGGACCGGATTTTCTGGCCTTTCCCTGCCCAGAACCAGCTCCTCTCGGGGAGACGCGTGAGGGGAGAGTGCGGAGTCGGGGTGGGGGGCGACCGGTGAATAAATTCTAACTCGCAACTCTCTCCCCCACTAAGTTTGTTTTCTCTCCCTCCTCCGAGCGCAAAGCTGAGGTAAGGTTTGTCATGGTTCAGGTTTAAATGGCCCCTGGGAAGAAGGAAAGCAGTACAAAGCTGCGCTGGCCGGTGAGAGCGGAGATGCTGAGGTACCTACCATGGTATTCTTGTCCCGGAACGTAGTAGGTGGGGTGGCCCGCAATGTGCAGGGAAATGAGCACCTCGCCCTGCTCCCCATCTCCTTCCAGCTCCCCGTGGTGAGTGCACAGGAAAAAGAATGGCGAAAAGCGGGGGTAATAGCCCACCGCCGCGCGCGCCCTCAGCGTCGCCCCCAGCAACAGCGCCAGGAGGAAAGTCCACGGGGCCCAGGAACTGCGCTCCATGCCGCCGCCGCGCGCCCCGAGCGCCGGTCTCTCATTCAGTTTTGGAGGCGCCGGGACCGAGTAGCCGCTTAGAGAGAATGCGAGAAGGCGGCGGACGCGGGAGAGCGGGCGCGGGCGCCGAGCCCCGCCGGGAAGTTCCGCGGGAGACCGCTGCTCCCAAAGTTTCTTTGGCCCGCGGGAGCGCGGGGCCGGGCTGCGGGCGCCGGGAGCGGGACGGTCGCTGCCTCGGTGCGCCGCCGCCGCCTCTGCGCGACGCCCCTCGGCCAGGCCTGGGAAAGCTCCCGCCCCCCTCCACACCTTCTTAAAGCCCCGGGCGCCGAATCCCCCCCGCCGCTGCCACACGTGTCCCGGCCGCTCCCCCGCCCCCGCGCGGCGCACGGCGCGCGCCCGCCTGGCCCCCGCCCACTCGGGCTCGCTCGCCGCACCTCGCGCTCCGCTGGGCGCACGCCTCTCGGGAGTCCCGGCGCAGAAGCCCAGCTCGCGTTCTAAAGGGCCGCCGGGCGGGGACGGGGGCCACGGAGTCCACGAATCTGCCCCGAGGGACTTAAACGCCTCAGAGAGAGAGACGCTCCCGCCCAGATGTCTGGAGGAGCAAAAGGACTGGACGGTCTCCTTTTGGCCCTCAGATTTCCCTCTTTTTTTTTTTTTTTCCTGAGAGGAGGCGCGGAGGAGAAGGGCGGTGGGGACCTGTGCTGGCGCCGGCTTCTTTGTCTGCGCGGGCTGCGCCTCGCGCCCCTCGGGGCTCGCCCACCTCCGAGCCCGGGCGGCCCGCATTGGTTCTGGGGATCCGCCCGCGACCCCAAACCGCGACGGGCCCCTGCGCTTCTTTCAGACCTAGGCCTTGCGTCCCTCCCGCTGACCCCCGCCCCGCTCCTCGCCGCAGCGACCGAGCCTCGTCTGTAGCTGGATTTAAAATGAGATTAAGCAAAAGTAGAATTGGCAGCCTCGAGTGGTGCCTGGAAATGGTGATTTGTGATGCTCGGGTGTGGGGAATTGTGTGGAGGGAAGGGCTTGCGGAGCTGAGCCCCGACAGGCGCTCTTCTCTGGACTGTTCTGTTATTCATTGCTGCTGGGTTCTTCAGGCGGAGATGGTTGTAATTTTTTAAATCGGTGTTTATTTCCTTTAAATGTCAGCTACGACCAATGTCCCTGAGACGGGGCGGGGGGGAGGGGGAAATGTTCTGGGGAGATGCTGGCAGCGGCGATTGAAGCGGGTGGTAATGAGCTGCTGCACAGGAGGCTGCGGGGAAGTGAAATAAAAAGCACGTTTTTAACCGAGGACGGCTGGCGGGAGCCCTGCGGCATCCAGAGCCAGGCTGCCAGGTTTTAATGCCTCTCTCCACCCAACCTTGGCTCGCCACCAAGCCCAGATAAACCCGCACGTACAGAAATGAGATTATAAAATTAGAAGGAACAGTGTCTTTGCCTGCATGGGGCGGGGGGGGGGGGGGTGAGGAGCGACAAGGAGGAGTGTGAAAAGGTAATCTTTCCAAGAGGGGACCTCTGTAGTTACCTCGTTGCAAAAGGAAGAGATTGGTTGTTTTCCTCTTCTCCAGGCCGAAATCAGACAGGTGAAAGGGCCACTTCTGGCTACCTCTGGTTTCCCTCCCGTAAGGATCCCCAAGGACCCGACTGCTGTGTATATTTGATGTAATAATCGTTACTGCTGCCGCTCTGTGTTGGTGCAGGCTTTGGGCTGTAGGTAAGTTACCTATTTAATCCTCACACCACTCAGAGAGGCAAAAATTATCCCCATGTCACAAGGGAGGAGATGGTCAGAAATGTTAATTTGTCCAATGTCAGTAACAAAGACTGTCAGTAACAAAGCAGCCTGGCTGCTGGCTCCAAAGGTTTTCACCAGGACCTACCTTGCAACTATCCACAGCAACCCTAGCTAGAGGTAAGTTACCACCACCTATTTCCCACAGGCAGGCAGTGTTGCCTCAGTTACAAGACACTCACTGGAAGCTGGCAAGACTGTTACCAGCTTTCTGTCCAGTTATGTGAATATAACCTAAAATAAAATGAGTCACTTCTAGAAAGTATCCAAAACTACTGAACATTTTTAGGTAAACACTTTTAAAATGTTTATTATGTGTCAAGCATATATTAACTCCTTTAATCCTCATAAGCCAATGGGGAAAATACTGTTAATAGTACTTATGAAGAAACTGAAGCACAGAGAGTCAAGTGACTTGTCCAGGATCACACAGCTGTAATTGTGGAGAGCAGGGACTTCAACAGTCACATTTTAGAGTACAGCACTTAACCCTTGCAAACCTTGATGCTGTTAGAGGCATGGGATGTCTTTACCCAATGTCAGATTATCTCATTTAATTCTGACATTGGCCTGTGAAGTGTATGCTAAGTCACTTTAGTTGTGTCCAACTCTTTGCTACGCTGTGGACTGTAGCCTGCCATGTTCCTCTGTCCATGGGATTTTCCAGGCAAGGATACTGGAGTGGGTTGCCATTTCCTTCTCCAAGGAAACTTCCAGACCCAGGGATCAAGCCTGAGGCCCTTTAAGTCTCCTGCCCTGGCAGGCAGGTTCTTTACCACTAGAGCCACCTGGAAAGCCCCATGGCCTGTGAAGTAGATATCCTCATTTTTTAGGAGATAAAGTTGAGATTCACACAAGTTAAATAATTTGTCCAGGACACTCAGCAAGAAGAGGAGCCTGGGATCAAATCTGGCCATGCTTGATCCCAAGATTGCTGCTTGAAATAAGCTATAAAGTAGCAAGAATTTCCTGTAGCTCAAAACGGTATAGAATCTTCCTGCGATGCAGGAGACTAGGGTTCGATCCCTAGGTTGAGAAGACCCTATGGAGAATGGAATGGCAATCCACTGCAGGATTCTTGCTGGAGAATTCCCATGAACAGAGAAGCCTGATGGGCTACAGTTCATGAGGTCGCAAAGAGTCAGACATGACTGAGCAACTAACACACACACAGTAAAGCACTGATACGTGGTTCAGGTCACAGCTGCACTTAATCCCAGAAGGTCTTCAGTTCCCAGGAGGTCCCCCCTTCTCACTCTGTAAGTAGTAAGCTCTTGTGAATCTCTCACTGTAGTTTTCTTAACATTGAATTTATGTGACCAAGTTTATTTTCCAATCTTCCCCTCTTTTGTGCTTTCTTAACTTCTACAACTTGACTTTTCTATGTGCATTATACTTTTAATTATGCAGAGAAGGGGACGGCAGAAGATGAGACAGTTGGATGGCATCACTGACTCGATGAACATGAGTTTGAGTAAGCTCCAGGAGTTGGTGATGGACAGGGAAGCCTGGCATGCTGCAGTCCATGGGGTTGCAAAGAGTCGGACACGACTGAGTGACTGAACTGAACTGAATGCAGGCTGAAATATGTGGCTACAGCCTCATGGTTATTCATTAACAAGCACAGAGACTGTTTAAATAATGCCCTGAGTGATGTTGAGCTGCTTAAGAAGGGGGCAGATGCTTGTACACTCTATTTAGCAGTCCTTTGGACTAGCACGTGTACATGTGCCCTTACAGTAATTGAGGCTCAAGTTCACACATCTCTGAGATCTTCTTCATGGAATCCCAGTTCAACTAATTATTATTAATACTTTTAAATAATTTTTTGGTTAAATGGAGAAACTAACACCAGATGGATATAGAATCACTATCCTCCTAGTGAGCACTTTGTCACACATTCACGTTGCAAACTGCATTATAATACAAAACTTTTAGCTTCCCAGCTCATGTGCTAACCTTTAGATCTTACTTCTATTTAATGAGCCATAATAAACACCTTCAGAAATATTTGTTTGGCCCACAAAATCTACGAACCTTTGAACTAATGGAAAAATAGAGAAGTACTCTTCAAGAAAATTTGGTTCACATCCAAAAAATCTGTAAAAAGATAAAATGTGATGTGAGGGGGTGAAAATGAGTAAATCTGTGGGAAAAGGAGTTTAAAAATAGGGTAATATCCCTCTATAATTAAAAGAGCTTTGGAAAAGCAATTAGCCGACAAAAAAAATACATGTTAAGTATCCTTAGACCATAAATTCATTTCTTGCTGATGAGTAAAAATTATTGACCAGCATTTGAATAATCTTAACACAATGGAAATTAAATCATATACATATGAGATCCACAACTTTCCAATCATTGGTCGATAATGACCCTAAATGAAACACAAAAAAGACATTAAGTTAAATTTTAAAGTTGCAAGCATTCACTCACTGTCGGCCTTTCATTGATTTTTTGAGTCAAAGTATCAAACGTTTTGGTGTGTGTAAGAATGTGAATCTCTACTCTTATTTACTATGTAAAAGTATAAGGTAGGAAGTATATAAAATTTTTAAAAGTATACAAATAAATGTAGAGATGGTGACATTGGTCAATTCTGTAGGTTCCAAAATGGTAATGAAAGGTCAAATAAAACAAAATCCTTCCTACACTAAGTCTTTAGGGAATGAAACCACTGAGAAAGGTGGGATATTTGAGGGTTGGCTCTGATATGCATATCTTGCCAGAACAAGTTAAGTAATGTACCCCAAATTAAAAATACTGAGATAATTAAATCATGAGTCAATTAAAAAATCATTATATCACAAGTTCAGGCTGGATGTGGAAACAGGAGATAAAGCTTAGGGTCTGCCAAAGGTAGGATGAATAAGGGAAGTGCTGCTCAAAGTGGAGTTTGCAGATTGGTTTACAAAATTTGTTGCCAATACATGTTGAGATGTGTACAGAAATTGAGAGTGTTTGGAAACTCTAGTTCTAGAGATTTTATAGTGCAGTAACAATCCAAGAAGAATTCCATTTTTTCTAGTAACTAATTCTGATGATATATGTACAAAAACAGTTGTCTGTGGTGGCTCACAGATAATTTGTGAGGCACTGTGATAGGAAATCATGCATAAAGCTATACCCCATCCCCAACTAGCTAGACTCTCAATAATAAGTGAA